TAATGTTAATAGAAATCATACACTGTCAGAATAAAAAGGTTGCATTTAATGCATGCAACAAGCCGGTCACTGGCAGTCCCTAATGGCAGCACCAAATATTGCACTAAATCAAAAGTTCAAATGTTACAAATAAGTCAGAATATTAATGTTGTAATACTGGTGGCACTAATATAAAAATGTGACATATGTTACAAAAAAGTAACAATTTTGAAATACGTTGATGGTTATTTGTATTTGATCTCAGTATTCCTATCAATGTTGTATAAGGGTTTTTTATGCATAATAGTAACCCTAGAATGTGATCAAACAGTTTAAAATAGCTGTGAAAACATTTTCATAATTTAAAAGTTTAGTGCAGAAGTATCGAATCGTATCGCCGATACTGCCTTAAAATATCGGTATCGTATCGAAAACAAAATATGGGGTATCGCCCATCCCTAGCTTTGTGTACTACCGTTACCGGGGAAACCTCGATCTCTAACCGCTCTACAAGCGCCTCCCGCTGGCTGAGAATGAATTTGCATATATATGCCGCCACTGTGGGAAACACTGCCACATAACAAATTAATAACCTGAATTAATTCTACAACTACTCCAAGTATCTCCAAGCTTACCTGGATACACAGTATGTGAAACTTCTTGAGTACAGTATACTCATGTACAGCAATATGTAGCTAATCTTCTGTCGCACAATGTAAACTGTATTATCTCACAGCTTATAAAGTTGCATGTATATCTAACTTTATCCACGTACATAAAGTACACTCATATAAAGTGATACCTACTATATTACAAATCTTTCACCGCACAGCTCTTCATTCAAGGTTGAATATATAAGTGTGTCCAACTTTATCTGCATACACACAGTACTCTTGCTTGGAGTGAGAATATATAGACTGTATATTGTTTGAAAATGTAAACTGTATTATCACACAGATGTAACTTGCTTAATGAAACCACATGGTATGAAGATATTAAAGGGATAGTTCACTCAAAAAGGAAGTTTGTCAGGATATTGATAAACTGCTGCTGGTAGCCATTGACTTCCATTGTATTTTTTTTCATACTGTGGAAATCAAAGGCGACTGTCAACTGTTAGGTTACCAACATTCTTCAGAAGATCTTCTTTTGTGTTCAACAGAAGAAAGAAACACAAAGGTCTAGAACTTCTTGAGGGTGAGTAAATGACAGAAACTTCATTTTGGGGTGAACAATCCCTTTAAGGTAATATAAACATTATTATAAAACGGATAGTTCCGGTCCTTGATTCTGATTGGTTGAGCCACGTTCGAAGCTGTTGTAAATTACTCTACGAACACACACCTTTGTTTACTTTGTGTGTTGATCGGCAACCACTTTGTTGCAACCACAACCGTTTCTGAGGAACTACATTGTTTGGTGGAAGAATACTGTTTTTATTAATATCATTACACTTTATTTGCTCGGTTTTATTTAGTGAAACCTTACCACGTATATGGAATAACCGTTTTATAAAAGCAATAAGCTCCGTGAAGCCGTGGTTTACAGTGAATTTATAACAGCTAAGGGGCGTTGTTAGGCACGACGCGAACACCCCTAAGCTGTTATAAATTCACTGTAAACCACGGCTTCTTGGGGCTTATTGCTTTAACATCATGATTTTCTGTAAAGCTGCTTTTAAACCATGTGTAGCTATTAGACAAAAAGTGTGCAACAAATATGTTATCAGAGTTGAGAGTACTTATTAGAAACGGTTATTGTTAGTTCAAATCTAACAGGCCAAAATATTTAATAATCTGTAATATTAATAACACCACCAATTATCTAGAATAATTAATATCTATTAAATACTTCATTACTTTAATAAAGAAATGTTCAAATCTCCACAGAAAGCTGTGAACGCAGTTGTGTGGGCCTGGTGAGCACACAGAATAGAAAGCTAAGGACTTACGTCTTGTCAAAATACGTAGTGTGGAGCGAATGAGAGAACTTGGTTGCGCTGCTGTTGATGAGGCTTCCATTTCCTGTTGTGTAATGTTTCCTTGCAGCCTGGTCCTTGGCGAAGTTCCTACAGGCAGCTAGTTTAGACTCAAGAGCCTGCATAAAAACAGACATCCCATGTTTTTGCATTAGCATCTAATTTTAGTTCGAGTCCATTCTGATACGAGATCACAAGAAGTTCTTTCTAAGTGTTAAAGTGAAACATGTAGTCATTCAGGAACTTACCCCAACTTTCCGCAGAAGATCACCAACAATGTTAAGAGCTGAGATCCGTGCAGACGGTGTGAGGGGGGAGCTTCCACAGCCATTGGTCAACGCTTTGGAGGAAAGAAAAAAAAGAAAGAAAAGTAAAATGAATGTAACTGCTGGCAGTCAGACTGTTAAGAGTGTGAGTGAAAAATATTGCATTGAAATGTGGTTATGATAATTAGAGAACAAGGTGACCAATATAATGATAATATACAATCCACAAAATGCTGATATATAATACACGATACTCAAAATTGCTGAAATTTATTGAGTATTTAAATTTACACTATTTAAATATTTAAAAAAAAATAATTAAATCTAAATGACAAATAACACCAACCTTTAGAAGCAATGAAAGAATGCTCCACGTTCTTCCCTACAGGTGTAGCTGGGAGGGACAGGGAGGCCTGCACTGCTGAGTCTGTCTTATCAATGTCTAGGGTGGGAGAGCTGGGGGCCGACATCCTGGCAACATCTGAAGTCCTCTCTTGAACTGCCAACTCTTGCCTCAAGTCTACAAGAACATACAAGATGCATGTATTTTTTAGCCAAAAACCTGAGAATGAGTTTAGCATTTGGGAATTTTAGCACTTCCAGTTACATCAGCCTGAAGTCAATGGTTTTTTTGGGGGGGGGTTTTTATAGGTTTTTGGTTAATGCCTAAAACAAAGTCTGTGGTTCACACAAACTCAAGATATTATCATGTTTTCCTCTCCAAAATTTGTAATGGCCCACTCTGGGTTTTTGTGTGTGTGTGTGTCTTGAAAAAGGTGGCTGCTAATAAGTGGCTAAATGGGACTAGAGGTTGTCGAGACATTAAACATCATCATGTAAACTCATATTTACAGCCTTATGTTTATAATCATGCTCTTGGAAACCTTTCGAACTCAAAAGTTTCGGTAAAAAAGTTTTTTTTTGTTTGTTTTTTTAATAAAGAGTGAAAGTTATCTGAAGCTGAATCTTGGTGACGTTAAAGTCATGTGACCGAGGTGTAGTTTTGCTTATAGCCTACATTTAGCGTTTTACTTCTGCCATTTTTATTAAGGCTTCAAAATTCTTAAATGTTTTGATCTGTTGTAAAGATTGTAGTTCTTTACAAAACATGCAAGAATCATAAGCTTTTGTTGGTTAAAGAGCTTATTTTCTGGAATAATCCAAAAGAAAAATCCTATTGGGTTTTTGTTGAGAGAACCAGGGTGATGCAAACTTAAAAAAAAATGCTCGACTTCCATTGTAAGTATATTAATGTACACTAGAGGTCGACCGATAGTGGATTTTGCCGATACCGATAGCTAGATTGGACCTCGCTGGCCGATACCGAATAATTAACCAATAGTTTTAAAAGTGATACTGAACAAAAACTAAAATAGTGCTTTATTAACAAAAACAGTACTGAACCATACTACTAGTAGTAGTAAAAAAAAAATAATAATAACAGTAATAGTAAATGTTGAAAATAACACTCCAACAAGGAACAATACTTACACAGCTTTCATTAATCTTAATGCTACAAATGGACTCTTATTTTGAAGTGTTACCATTTAATTTCAACAGTCATGCTTAAAGATGCACATCTTTAAATATATACACAAAGGCTATAGCATTAAAATTATATACATATGGATATTGTATGTATACTCTCACACTTTAACTGCTTCTATTCTTGAACACTTTATGATAATCTAATCAAAATAAAAGCGCAGCGCTGAGTCTAGGAGAACTCACCGGTATCACACACACACTCCGGACGCGTCGCGTTCAACTCGAGCAGCGGTCTAAAACAGTTTATTTAATCACCAAACAGACACAAGTTTACTTCAAGAATGAAAATTTGGCATGGATGAGTTTGAAGTTCGGTGTTTAAAAAAACGGAGCAAACAGAAAGAGAAAGCGCGACCTATATTATAGCTCTATAAATGAAGCACACAGACTTTATTAGAGCCACAGAAAGACAAACGTTTTGCTGAAAATGCACAATACACAATTCATTACGTAAAGTCCTCCAGGGATGTGATGGTGGCCCTGCTCAATCCAGGTTATTGTTTTAAAAATGTTGACCTCTTTATCATGACACTTGCACCATGTATTTTGGCCTGCGTTTGTTGGGCATTGGTGACATGTAGGCTAGTCTTGACAAAAAGTAGTCTAGCAATTTAGGAACTCAGGGCCAAGTTAGTTTAGAATGGAAATATGATCCTGTCTCGTACCTCTTAGCTCTCTCCAGGTCGTCGTTGGCCTGCTCCAGCTCCCTGACATATTTGTGCAGCTGCTCCTTGATGCCACGTGTTTGGACCAGGTCATCCTCCAGCATGGCGATCTGCTTATAGCTCTGAGCGTACTGCTGCTCCAGTTTCTCCTGCAGTCAGGGACACAGGGGAGACACAGTCTGAGTCACCATCAGAAACAAACAGAACTTTCTGCCAACGGCGGGTGAGAAAATGTATCAGCTATAAATACATATTTCTTTACTAATGACTGCACAGTCCTATTCAGAAAGGACTATTTTTATCCTTGTGTGTTCAAGTACCAAACATAAAAAAAAATTAAGAGTCAAAACCATAACAAGACCACATGACTGTAATGCCCACATCCAGACATCCCCACCTTAATAACTACAGAGAGCCAATCCTATCCAAATTAGAGACGTTTTGGGTCAAGCTCAAAGCTCATTTGGAAAACCAGTTCCATCCGAATACTTATGGCAATGGATTTATTTTTTTCCTCACATTGGCACAATATAGTGACAAGTTGGTCTCAGTTTCTTAAAGGGGTCATATGATGCGATTCCAAGTTTTCCTTTCTCTTTGGAGTGTTACAAGCTCTTGGCGCATAAAGAAGATCTGTAAAGTTGCAAAGACTAAAGTCTCAAATCAGATATTCTTTATAAAAGTTAAGAGTAAACCACGCCTACCTAAAACGGCTCATTCTAACAGAAAATAATGTGTTTTTTAACCATAAACCGCCTAAACACATTTTATTACACCAAATACACCATTTTTTTTTTTTTTACAAATATTTGTACCTGCATTTGACTTCATTTTTGGTTGAACTGCCCCTTTAATGAGGAGCAAGAAAAGGAGGAATACCAGTACACATGACTTTTCTTGTAGGTAACCTACTTTATCCACCTCATTTAATTTCTTCTAAATAAGCGTATTGTTTTGGGCCATGGCAAAATAATGAGTGCCCCATATTCTCTAAAACAAACGCAGGGTCAGTGGGCAAAGGCTACTAGACTTGCTAGTCTTTCTGAGAATGCGATCATTTAATGATCACGCTTTCTGGGACAGCAGCGAGATCACATTTCATTCATGTGAGGAGACCTTGCACAAATATAAATCACAGTCGCTTTGCCGGGTCTACCTAAACCCAAGCCATTAAAAAGATATTTCTGTAAGGGTCTTAGAGGGACAACTGTGCTATAAGTGAACTTTACTGTTTGAGCCATTAGTCTTCTATTTTCTTCCTCTTCATCCTGACATCCAATTACAGCACACTTGGGATCAACAGAGACCCTTGACAGCTCTCACACTGGGCAATGCTGCATCACAGAACAGCGGCTACACTGCTGATGCTTTACAGATAAATCAGCAGATTGAAGGTGTGTGGAGCTACCTCTGCCATTAGATGCTATTGTACCCATAGCTGCGCCAAACTGTACACTTTTGTAACCTTTTATTTCCCTGCAGTTCGCTACATATTCTTCATGCTCATCAGGGAACTAGTGCCTAAAGCATGACCTTTGACCCCATGTACCTGTAAAGCTTCTATTTTAAATAACCTCTGTTATGACTGGCTAACCCTTATAAGGTATAATTTTTATACTTGTGACAAACATCACGTCAAATTTATACCCTAAAATAATAATAATTTGTGTATATAAAACAAAGTCTATTAAGATTCTGACATTGCCACACTATTCTCATGAAAATTAAGCATTTTTAAATGCTTAAATATTTGGCATTACAGTAATTAGAAAGTGGGTGGTAAATGTGTTTCATTGAAAATATTGCCACAATGCAAAAAAATATATAAAATACACCACCAGTTTGGGTCAGTAAGATCTAATTTAAAAAAAAATTCAAATCTGTAATATTGTGAAATGTCATTACAATTTGAAATAACTGTCTCTTATTACTTATGTATATTTTAAAGCGTCATTTATTCCTGTGATGTCAAAGCTGAATTTTCAGCAAGCATTACTCGAATCTTCAGTGTCGCATGATCTTCAGAAATCCTTTTAATATGCTGGCTTGCTGCTCAAGAAACACTATTATCGGTGTTGAAAATAGTTGTGCTGCTTAATATTTTTTGTGGAAACAGCAACACTTTCAAAAGAATGGCATTCATTTGAAACAGAATTCTTTTGTAACATTGTAAATGTCCACTTTTTATCAATTTAATGCATCCTTGCTGAATAAAAGTATTAATTTTATTTGACTTTTGAACAGTAGTGTTTATTTGAAACAAAGATGATCCCAAATAGACTTTAAATGACAATTTTCTGTTCCTTTTTATATCGGAATGAAAAATGACTTCAACGTGCTTGAGAGGTATTGTGAGATTCACCCCAATTTAAATGCAGATTTCTAAATGACCCATTTTCAGAGTTTTAATTTCCATAAATGGCCTGGGTGGACTGAGGAGGGAGCTTTGTGTCATTTCAAAAGAGCAACGGCATTTCAGCTCTTGTCCTACAGTACCTTGAGTGTGTCCACCTCGCTCTTCAGCCTCTGGTTCTCTGACTGCAGGTCTCGGATGCGGTGCTCGGCCTGCCCCAGCTGAGCCTCCAGCTCGGCCTCCAGCTCTCGACTGCCCTCCTGGAACTCCTGCAGCTCCTCCTGAGCATCACGATAACTGCAGATACGCAAACATATAAAACATTTTTTTAAAAATCACACGTCACCAGCCATCTGGAACAGCAGTGGCAGATTCATCACATTAACTATGCAATACAAATTGACACCCAGACTGCAACAAAAGAGCTGACATGCTCCAAGCATTTAGACCTTGACAGCTGGTGCTATAGCAGATGATGAATTACAGTCACTCAGGGCTGTGGCCACTCTGGAGGTCCTAAGAGCAATTTAAAATAGCACACCCTGTTACCTAACCATGTCCAACAATAACAACACAGCAGAATGCAGCACTTCCTGAATATCATCACAGCCAGAAATTGTGAAGTTATGGAAAAAGATCGGCCAAATGTTCACTTTGAGCCCTTGAAGGTCAGGGGTCAGGGGTCACAGGCTGGCTTGAGATGAATAGTGAGCGGCAGGAAATGAGCTCAACAGACTGAATGCATGGTCTTGGTTGTTTTTAGACAGCGTTTCCGAAGCTCTGTTAGACATGTCCCTTTAACCCTGGTCACTTCCCCCAGCCTCATTCTGTCATGTGCAGAGGGAACCTTAAATCTGTCACTTCATCACTCCTTCCCTGAAATACCAGACATGTGCGGACCTACCTTCTCAGCACAAACCATTAAAACACTCACTCGACAACAGGAAGCTGCTCAAAAGCACATTTATAGTCCTTTATGATATTGGGATTATTATATAGTACCATTCAAAAGTTTGGGGTCAGTATTTTTTGTTTTACATTCAAAAGTTTAGGGTCAGTACAAAAAAAAAAAATAAACCCGTAATCTTAAAGGAAGCATTAAATTGATCAAAAGTGGCCATAAAGATATTTATAATGATACAAAGATGGCTATATTTCAAATAAATGCTGTACAATGATGCTCTATTCATTGAAGGAGCCTCTATTCAACAAATCAGCATATTAGGATGATTTCTGAAGGATCATGTGACACTGAAGACTAGGGATGTAACGGTATGAAAATTTCATATCACGATTATAGTGACCAAAGTTATCACGATTATCAATATTATTTTATTATTATTATTATTGTTTTGTTCAAATTAGATGAAAATGTTCAAAAAGAACTGATACACACACTGAAAACATTTCAATAAGTTTTATATTCGAAAATCAACAAACAACAAATACAATTAGCAGCTATATGCACTTTTTTTTTTGCAAAAACATAAAATTAACATTAACAAGAAGCCCTAATAATAATAACAATAATAATAATAATAAATCGCTTGTGTGTGTGTATATATATATATATATATATATATATATATGCGCATCACAGGAATGAAAGAAAATTTTAAATATCTTACAACAGAAAACAGCTATTTTAAATTGTAATAGTATTTCACAATATTCCTGTTTTTTTTTTTACTGTATTTTTGAGCAAATAAACGCAGCCTAAGTGAACACAAGAGGCCTTTCTCAAAAACAAAATCTTACAGACTCCAAATTTTTGAATGGCAAAGCATCTATGTATAAACTATGTTTTGACCTTTTCCTAATGAGGTTGCTTACATCTTTAAGACTTCATGTTCTGTCAAGTGAGTTGAAGGGGCTCATGTGTGTGCCTATTTCCAGGAAAGCATGTTTTGCTCCTTCCTCAGCCGGAAATTCCTGGGATGTGAGATCTTCCTGTGCTCCACCAAAGCTCTGGGGCAGTAAACCACAGCTCAGGAGGAGCATGTGCACATGCTGAAAGTGTGTAGGAGTTCAGAGCGGCACAGACAGATACCACACCAGCAGACACACGGTCAGCATTTGCGCCAGCCCCAAGTGTGAGTTCTGTTTTAGATCAGAGACACTCTCAGGCCACTTTTGGTTAAGTCAAAAACACGGCCTGAGCTTTAAAATAGAGAAGGTTATGCAGACGATTCACATACTAGCATTTTGGGTCTGAAACTACACAAAATAATCACATAAACCAACTGAAACTTTAAAAAGACATCAAGCCTACCTACAATGTAACCAGCAGCACAACATAAGGTTTCAAACATGACATTTCAATAAAAGAGACTGCAAGACACTAAACACAACAGCTGGAGCTATGGAGCATCTTCTCAGGTTAACAGAGGGTCTCTTTTGTCAAGGGCAGTGAAAGGCTCTCTGTGTGTTGTGGCATGTTCTCCGTTTTTCCATGACAAAAAGTGCTGCAGTCATATTTACAGCCATTCATCACCCGCGGGGCTTGTGATTGTAGGTATGAACGCAGAAACAACCATTATTGTCTCAGCTAGCCAAAGTTTAACTAAAATACTGTGGCCAAGTTTTTAAAAGCCAATCAGCATTGTTTGTCTGAACATAAACGGCTGACTCCCCATGGCTTTTATGTGAAGATAAACTGCACACTGCTGTAAAAAGCTCAGCTGGTTGCTATATTTAGTAGTTAATGACTTTGGCCTACCTCTTCTTGTATTTGAGAGACAAGCACTTCCAGTAATCGATTTCCTCGTCTTTCGAGGAGAACTTCGGCATCATCATCATCTCTGTGTCCATGGTGGAGACCTGTGGAAGCAGATGGGAATTAGAGCAGTCCTGAGAGACAACCCCAGTACAGGTTGTTTAGTCCCAGTACAACCCCGCAAACAGAGGGCCCATGGTGTGTGCCCTCATTTGACACGCATCCAATAACACTTTTTGTTCACTTGGCTTTCTACCAGGCTCACATGACTTACTTCATCCTTTACAAGCTCACAGTTTTACAGATTGCAGCATTCGCTTTCATTTTTGGGGGGATTTTTACACAAGACTAATTTCATTAGTCAATTCATATGCTGTCTTCATTTACGAGAGTCAGCCTCATGTTGTTCCAAACCTGTGTGACTTTTATTCAACTTAGAAAGATGTTTTTAACAAAACCGGAGACATTTCTGTCCCTCTCCTGAAAGCCCATTACGCTAAAACTTGGAGGCTTAAAAATGTTTACAAAGATATTGTAAAAATAAGCGGTTTAAACGAAGCCTTCAGAAAAGACACAATCGCTTTATATGACGAACAAATTTAGTTTAACCTGTGTCTCTCCAGTATCTTTGAATTAACTGCTGGATTTCTATGGATTACATTTGATGCTTCTACATTTTGCATCCGTGGGCCTTTGTTGGTGGGACAGAAATACTTTGGGCTGCATTAATAATGCGTTTTGAAGGTTAATGAAAGTCTAACGGCTTTGGAAATTGGAACAACATGAGGGTAAGTAAAGGGATAATTATCATTCCGGGATGAACGGTCCCTTCCATAACACGACGTGTTAAAGAAACAGTTCTCCCAAAAATGAAAACATCAGTCATTTTATGGTTAAATCATAGTGTAAGAGCTCCTTTTGTGTTTTACAGAAGAAACACTATATTTGGAATAGCATGGGAGTAAGTAAAGGACAACAGTTTTTTCAGTTTATATAGATTATAAGCCTTTTAAAGATCAAACGTGAAGCCATTTATCACAAAAGGACAACAGAGTAGTCCTTCCATACATAAAAGCTTGCTCCGAATAAGATTAACGGCAACAGATATCTTCCTTTTAAAACAGTATGCACACTTGGACGTTTGTGCCTCTAGAACTCATGCACGTGTGACTGAAAATGACCTCTCATTAACATTCTTCATCCTTGTCTTGTGTTGGGACATCATTTGTTTGACCAGCAGCACAGAGATCCAGTGTTTTTTCTGAAATTTCCAAACAATTAATTCCTATCATAGGTCTTTTTGTAAGCAATCGCTCATTAGATCTGACATGACGAGGAGCTGTAAGCCGAAGCCATCAGTTTCATTCAGCAACCCAACCTGCAGCAGATGAACCTGTTCACTTTCTAAAACAAGTCTGAAATATTCCAGACATCTCTGCAATTCTCCGGATTCTGTTCCGGATTCTCAGGAGCGTCACATGTTGTGACCCAGCACTCCTAGAGTCCCACTTTATAATGACTATGAGGGATTTCCAAACCAAACGACCCATTTAAACAGAAAATAGAACTAAAACACCTAAGGCACCCTCATTATTGTCCGTTTGCTTTTCATATTTCCATATTTATGTCAGGTCTGAAACTCTTGAATTAAGATTTTTCAGTGATCATACTTATTAATGTATAGGAGAAATATTCAAGTCATTTATTTGATTTGAATGTCACAATATTAAACTTGGCTTTGTATAAGGTCAAGTCTGTTCGTTTAAAATGCCATTTTTAATTGAGAATAAGTCGAATACATAAGCACAGAGTCAAATAATTAAAAAGGAAAAAGATAAGTGAAACATGTTTTGAGTTGTGTAATAGTCGTGTTAGGTGCTATTCTTTAAAGACCCAATAAATTGTGGCATTTATTGGCAGGCTCAATATTAAAGAACAGATTAAGCAGGAAATTAAAAATACTGATTTGAACGAAAAATGACTACAGCTCGCTCTCGAATGTAAAGAAACAACATACGCTAAAGAAACACACAAAATCACAGGTGTACATGATAATACAGCCATCAAACACCAAAGCAGCAGTGGATTTCTACTCTGGAGCAGAATGGGGCTCCTGTGGGATTTGCTCTCCTGAGGGCTGTCAAAACCGATGTCATTTCAATTGTGGTCATTTATAATGTCTTAAGCCACCACGCAGAGACCCTCACCCCTCCCAAACTGACTCCTAACAGTGAGGCCATCTGTCCGGCCACAGAGCGCCTGTCCCGCACCACAGGACAGTGGGACGGTTCCTGTCTAACGCAATGCTTTCCGCAACCTACACTCTTTGCCAGTAGTACGCACAGTCAGGGGTTCAGAGGAAAGGCCAGATTTCTGTTTCCAAGGATGACATGATTTCCAAAAATCACAATCCAGCACACACCGTCCTGCTGAGTAATACACTACAAACATGTGATATACCCTCAAAGATTAGGGGATGAGATCTGTGCTACCATTGAGTTATCGGACCTGCTTGCAAGTAGTGTCCACACAGTTATACTTAGTCAGCTTCATGCCAAGAAGTGTTTTTATATATAATATCTTTTCGTATGACAAGAAAGAAACGGCATCGGACGACAAACTATTGTCACAACATGTAAACAGAACACATAGTTGTTGTCATACATTTAACGTGCAGTTCATTTCTGTATAAATGTGCAAGACACAACGTTAGTATTTATCATTGTTATAGTCATATATTGTAATAATTCATGTTATAGCGCAACATAACTGACAACAGATGAAAGAACTTAATCACATAAAGTAAACAGTGGATAATACAAAAAGGGTGTTCATGCACTTATAATAAATAGCTATGTATGTAGAGATGTACATGACTTAGCAAACAAACGCTAAGGTGCCCAAACCAGAAGTCGACTAGCGGTCATCACTCAATTACACAAATAAATAAATAAAATAAAAATCATGAGGATGAAATTTAATACTTAACTAGCCAAACAGTTCACCAAAAACGATTCGTTATCGAATAAATCCGCATGTAAATATCGTATTTGTCACCAACATGTAACGTTACAAATGAAAGTCAACATCGGGTCTATATCATTTAAATAACTACCATCAAAACTCAGTCACCTGCGGTTTAAATTCTCAGCGATATATCGGTCGATTAAAGGCGTTTTTGGCTGTACGCCAGAAGAAACCGGCACATGAAAAATCTCAGGTTCCCGCAACTGTTGGTCTTCACTGGCCAGAAAATGACAGCTTAAGATAACAGTCTGTTTAAATGATAAAGCCTTGCATTTCATTACCGTCCCATCCGAACACGCCGTTTATAATAATCGCGGATTAAATCAAAAATGTCATGAAATGTTGACCTTATCATGTCCTGTTCCTGGAGTCGGTGTCTCCTGCGCTCGAGCGTCAGCTGAGAGAAATGCCAACGCGACGCCGCTGCTCTCGCTGCTCTCGCCTTCAGCTTCCGGGAAGACGACGCCACCGCGTCACTGCGTCACGCTAGCGTCAGTGACGCGCACGCAAAGCACGTTGTCGTTTATTTTGATGCATGCTAGTAATGGTTCTCTTATGGTTCTCCAGCTGACACGATATGCGGGTATTGGTGTGTAATAAAGCGGGGAACAATCAGTGATTCGTGTTTCATTTTACAATTGAGCAAATATCACACCACAAGATGGCGCGTTAGGACTCCAGTAGCCTATAATGATAATAAAACAATGTAATATAGCCTACAAGTCAAACCAAAAGTTATTCAGACACCTTCAGCATTTCTCGCATTATCACAGTTTATTCGCCATAGTTAGAAAATGCTAACAGAATGTGACAAGAACTCAAGAGTTATACTGTGTCAGTCTCAGAACAAATTCCTCTTGGTAATCACAAATGAATTACAGTCAAACTTTATTCAGAGACCTTCAAAATGTCTCACATTATCACAGATTATTATATTAATATAAGACAAGAACACATTCATTTTGATAATGTCAGATAACTTTGATAGAAAGGTAGGCCTTGTGTAACAAAACATGGTCAGGTCAAAGTGTCCAATCAAGTTTTTGGTCCCAAATTTTTATTAATTTCACTGGTAATCCACTGTATAGTTGTATATTTGTATTTAATCTGTATTTATGTTATCTGTATGCACCCAAGGGTCTGAGAGTAACGCAATTTCAATTCTCTGTGTGTATGTGCTGTACATGTGGAAGAATTGACAATAAAGCAGACTTGACTTGACTGTATGATGAATTTTGGGGTATAATAGGCTATGTCACAGCTTACTTTGTTTTGCTCTCCTCACTTACATAAATGAACTATAGTGTCCTGCACCCACTAGAGAAAATAAATAAATACAAATTTTAATTGAATAATTTTTGGTTTGACTGTATATCTATTAAATGTAGCTTTTATTTAAATCGTTATTTATCCTCCTGAGAACCAGAAATAAAAAGCTTTGTGAATTTAGTATTGTTTCATGTCATTCCATTGTTTAGAGCATAAGAATAAAATGGTAAAATAACACTTTTGAAAAATTATATGTTATTCATAAGTTATGCTGTGTCCTCTGTAGAGGACACCAGGACTCCGTTTTTCTGAAAATAAAATGACAAGAGTAGACATGAAAAGGCAAAAACAATGGGATTTTTTTTTTAAATCACCAATCAATGTTTAGGTTTCAGGATTTTTTTGTAACTAACTTTAAGGATGGTTCTCAACTATGTTATAAAATATATAACAAAATGATTTGATATACCATTTTGCTTTATGCAATATTCATTTGGTATCTCTGGAAAGCCCAGCATGTGCTCTGTACGGGACATCCGGACTTAAAACTGTGACATGTGAGGTCTCAGAGAAATTCACTGAAATATAATGTCCACTACAGAGACAAAAACTCCATAGGGTCTCAGGAGGATATAATAAAACGGCATTTGGAACTATTAAGTGTTCTTTTAAACTGTAATTTTATTTTTACATTTTTCACTTTTTTTTCAAAAAGGTCTTTGTGTGACTATTATTGTATTTGGATTTATTTTGGTGCATTTATTCTATTTTAATCGTTTTAATTTCTCTCTATAAATGTTTCCTATATACTACTACTACTACTACTACTAATAATAATAATACTAATTGAAAATATTTAATAAAACAATGAAATGTTAATTTTGTATGCGTTTCATTTTCATTTGTCTTTATAAATATTTCTATACTACTATTACTAGGCTACTACTACTACTAATGATTATTTTCTCTATAAATATTTCCATAGGCTATATTTTCATGTAATAATAATAATAATGTATTAATATTATTGTTGTTGTAATAATAAGTAAATAATAAATAACTAGAATTTATTATTATAGTTAATAATAAAAAATTATATAAATTAATGTATAATAATAATTATTATTATAACAGGCTACATCTAAATGTTAGGCTCAACAAAAAACCCCAGAATAGAACACCTAACAAACGACACTAAATACTTAAACTGTTTACACTGAACTGGTTCTAGTTTCTTCTTCTTCTAGTTAACAGCAGATCTAGTTTTTCAACATTCCTGGCATGACAGCGGCTGTGTCGTCACGGTGTCCGCGTGTTATCTTACAGGAGTATCAGTTCCCTGCGCCAGTGTGCGTTGCATGTTCCCGCGGGCTGCTGTTTACCAGTCGAGGGGATCCAGGTGGAGTTTTCAAACCGGAGAGACATGGATGAGGAGGCTCAGGACAGCGAGTGTCCGGTGTGTTACGAGAGTCTTTCGGACAGCACCAGGACGCTCAGCTGCGGGCATCACTTCTGCCATGACTGCTTAGTACGAACTCTGCTGAACACCAGCCTGGGCTATATTTTCATGTAATAATAATAATAATGTATTAATATTATTGTTGTTGTAATAATAAGTAAATAATAAATAACTAGAATTTATTATTATAGTTAATAATAAAAAATTATATAAATTAATGTATAATAATAATTATTATTATAACAGGCTACATCTAAATGTTAGGCTCAACAAAAAACCCCAGAATAGAACACCTAACAAACGACACTAAATACTTAAACTGTTTACACTGAACTGGTTCTAGTTTCTTCTTCTTCTAGTTAACAGCAGATCTAGTTTTTCAACATTCCTGGCATGACAGCGGCTGTGTCGTCACGGTGTCCGCGTGTTATCTTACAGGAGTATCAGTTCCCTGCGCCAGTGTGCGTTGCATGTTCCCGCGGGCTGCTGTTTACCAGTCGAGGGGATCCAGGTGGAGTTTTCAAACCGGAGAGACATGGATGAGGAGGCTCAGGACAGCGAGTGTCCGGTGTGTTACGAGAGTCTTTCGGACAGCACCAGGACGCTCAGCTGCGGGCATCACTTCTGCCATGACTGCTTAGTACGAACTCTGCTGAACACCAGCCTGAACGGATCCATGAAACGGGATAATATCATCTGCCCCGTCTGCAGACACCTGACATTCATCACAAAGCTCCGCGGATTCACAGTCTCAACGCTTGAAGCCAAAAGGATCGGAAAGACACTGGAAGTATCATCTCTGCCCTCTCCTGTATTCCCTGTTGGGTCTCACACTGGAGGTCTTGGCTGTATCTGCAGGTGTCTGAGGAGTATTTCATGTAGACTATGTAGACGAAGACTCGTCTGTCCTAAAGACGCTTCAGAAGTGTTTATCATCAGTGAGTTGGGTCGACCCATGACAGAGGGTGATGTTATTGACATTGGGACAACTTCAGCCATGCAGCAGGACTACAGCAGCAATGGACAGAGGCTTTGCACCATCTCCTGCTGCCTTCTGATCCTAATGATCACTTTCACCTTACTGGCTCTGGTGGCTGCCATACTTCCATGGGTTTTGTTGGCTTAAAGTGTCCAGAACTGCTTGTATGTGGCCCCTCATGTAAGATAAATCACTTTAAGAGCAGTGCATATCATTATTAAGCCATGTGTTACTGAAAACGAGACGGTTTCACAAGACACAATGAATGTTTTATGAAAAACAGACGGTTATTGTCTTTTCCAAGGCTTGCTCTGGCATGTCTTGTGAATGTCTTGAGGGGAGGCATATGGAGGTGGTTTCCTTACAAAGCAGTCAAATATATAGTGTTACTCTACAGATAAACAAAGGTTTTGTTCTGGAAGCTGCCAGGAAAAAGTTACTGTGAGGAGACTGGGTCATTTAAACGTGAAGAAGAAAAGATGAGCTGGTCGTCTGGTTGTCACTTGATGTTGTAGAAACAAGGTGGGATTCAGTTACAGCTACCATGGACACAGCAAGTTTGAGAATGGAGGACGGGGAAGGGTGTGATGAAGCTTGAGCTTTTCTCTGCGGCTCGCATTACCTGGAAGGAATGAAACACACCCTCGCCTGTCCAGACATTCTTGTCACACGGGCTAGCAAACGTCTTTAGCTAGTTCCAGCCCTGAAATGACTAATACCTCACATTCTGCACAAGTTGACAGTCATTACTTGATTGGAGGGTGTTTCTGTGACGTACCTGTACAGCAATGCTATCGCAATGCACTTCAGAATGGTGTGTGTACGTGTTTGTACTAGTTCACCCCGCTGACCCATGTGTCTTCTCCCAGATTGCTCAGAGGTTGCTCAAGTGATGTTAATGGATTGCTCAGTTTGAAGTATCAGTTTGTCCCAAATGTTTTTTTCTTTCAGTCAAATACACGCCAATGAGACGTAGCCTATACTGTAAAGGTGCAGTCATTTGCAGCTGTTCGTGAGTTGACATCAGGCGGTCATTTCGATGGACCCTTTTCACCGACTGCGATGACGCGTTTCCATAGTTAAAAGCGTGCAACTATTTTTTTTTATAAAAAAAAAGAGTATGTAGCTACATTTAAAACACTATATTTTGTGTTAAACTACCTTGCCATTAAATTACAGAAAATTAGTTATCGAGGGTTTCTAATATAGCTATCAGCTGAGGGAGTGACTGAAAATTTGACAATCTCTCAGACAAAAAAATTGAAATGATTTTTCCCCCCATTTGATATTAGAGCAAATGGAAAAGCAAAAAAAATTGTGCTGTCAAACGATTAATCGCGATTAATCGCATCCAAAATATAAGTTTTTGTTTACATGTATGTGTACTGTGTTTATTTATTATGTATATATAAATTCACACACATACAGTATATATTTTGAAAATATGTACATGTACATATACATTTATATTATTATATTTTATATAAATATATTTAATATATAAACTATTTTTCTGAAATATATACATGCATGTGTGTGATTTATATATACATAATAAACACAGTACACGCACATATATTATGTAAACAAAAATGCTTATTTTGGATGAGATTAATCGCGATTAATTGTTTGACGGCACTAAAAAAATATACTTTATCCACCTTTTTCTTGTCGTAAAAATGGGCGCGGCCATTTGTAAATTATATGGGTCTGGCTTTCGGTCTCATCTGCGTCCACTCCTTCCAGTTATTTTTAGCTGAGCAAAACAGTTCGTTTTGCTGCTTGATATTGAAAGTTGGTGTGTCTTATCATATTATTTCAATGTATTATCTTAATTATGAACACACTGGTTTGTAGTGCAAACAGTTTTACCGTTTACTGCACGTTGTTATTCTCCTCGTTATTTACCTATAGCGGCTAATGAACCGGAAGTCTCACCCATAGGCTTACTTCCGCGTTGAAGAAAAAGGTGGATAAAACGGATAGTTCCGGTCCTTGATTCTGATTGGTTGAGCCACGTTCAAAGCTGTTGTAAATTACTCTACAAACATACACCTTTGTTTACTTTGTGTGTTGATCGGCAACCACTTTGTTGGAACCACAACCGTTTCTGAGGAACTACATTGTTTGGTGGAAGAATACTGTTTTTATTCATATCATTACACTGTATTTGCTCGGTTTTATTTTGTGAAACCTTACCACGTATATGGAATAGCCATTTTATAAAAGCAATAAGCCCCGTGAAGCTGTGGTTTACAGTGAATTTATAACAGCTAAGGGGCGTTGTTAGGCACGATGCGAACACCCCTAAGCTGTTATAAATTCACTGTAAACCACGGCTTCTTGGGGCTTATTGCTTTAATTGTAGTTTTGGTTCACCACTATCAAAGTTAACGCAACTATAGAACCCCAGAAATGTGAAAAGGGTCCAAAGGAATCTACATGATTGTGAATTTTATGTGAGGGTGAAAATTTTGCAAATTCCACAAGGGTTTGAAGTTGATCGTGCTGATTCATAGCATTGACCAACAGAAAGCTGCTTAGTTTAAAAGTGGCTTCTGTGCGAGCGTTTTGCCTGCAAAATTTCACAGAAATGGCGCTAATGTGACCGCACATTAAGAGTATAGAGCTATAAAATGAATATGAATTACATAGCCCAGATCATTTGGTTTTGGAAGTATTTGAAAAACAACTTCATTATAAAATATCTGACTTTTACGTATGCAGTATTCAGTCTTTTGCTGACATACAATATAAAGCTATAAAATTAATGTGGATCATTTTTCTTTTAGTCAACATCATTTGAAATGCTTGAGTTTATACTGAGATAATCACCAGACTTCAGTTTTAAACATATAGCTTTTCACTGTTTTTTTTTTCTTTTCTAAAAACATAAAATGATGATCAATATCTTGTCTCCCCTTACATCATTTCAGGATGTAGACATTGTTATTACAGCAGTTTGAGGTGAACAATACACAAGAACACAAAGCACTTAGACCAAAAGTATTACAAATGTAGAGTTTAATAAATATCTATGTATTTCTGACATTCTGATAAGGACTGCGGCAGGCTTCACAGTACAGACTGTGTTCTTCCACTGATATGCTAAGCTGAGGAGGGTGATTTACAGGCAGATTTGTACATTAGTTCGGTAAGCGGGGGTGAAGAGGGCTGTACATTGTTGGACAATGTGCACTGATCAACTTATCACCTTTGAATCTACCTGTTCACACATCCCTGGTTCATCGTTGACTACCTTTATTATCTGGTATTGTTTTAATGAACACACATGTGATTATCTAAAGGGAATGATTAAATGCATGCTCTGTCACTCCAGATTGCTGGTTTTCACAGGATGATGTAAATGGGTGATATAGTAACCTAAATGTTCAAAACAGATGACTGAGAAAAAGCGGAGAAATCTTCAGTTCAGTTTGTCACCGTTATAACTTTGTGGCTTCTTTGTATCATTAGTTCTTTTTGAACATATCATTTCATGCTGAAAATATCAGATAAATTAAGAAATACATTTATCAGTACAAATTATGTCCTTGTAATAGGTGCATTAGATGACGGTTTTATTTTACAAATCCCATTTTGAGAAGAACATTTGTACTATAATTGCATCGTTTTCTTGGTTCAAGCAAGTAATAAGAGACATTTTGAAATTAAATCTGTTTGACTCATCAGTAGATAGAATCTGTGCCTGCAGATATCTTTGCAGATTTCTGCCCTTTATGTTGGTTTAACAAATTTTGACTTGTATGATAATGCTTACAGTGCTCAATAGGAATTTAACACGTTTCCCATTTAGATTCTGTACTGATTTTCCATGATTTCAGTGCATAAAATGCAGTGAAAAGCATCACAACAACAGGTCCAGGTCAGGGCATTTCCCTCCAAAATCGAAAGTAAAAAAAAAATCATATAAAATGAAAAATGATTTATATATTTTTTGCATTTTGGCATTACATTAAAAATTATTTATTTTTAACATACAACACATACTATTATGATAGTACAAGCACAATTTAAATATATGACATAATTTTTTTAATTGTATTAATGACATTTGGGAATGATATTGTGCTTAATCATCATGAAAATCCTTTGATTTAATAGTTTAAACTAACACAAGCTTCTTGTTCTTTAAAGGGGTCATATGATGCGATTTAAATTTTTCCTTTCTCTTTGAAGTGTTACAAGCTCTTGGTGCATAAAGAAGATCTGTAAAGTTGCAAAGACTAAAGTCTCAAATCCAAAGAGATATTCTTTATAAATTTAAGAGTCAACCACGCCTACCTAAAACGACTCGTTCTAACACGCCCCCACATATCTACATCACTATGTGGGAAAATTTGCATAACGCCGCCCAAATGTTCACTCAAAGAAAGAAGGCGTAACTTTTATTCGCGCTGTTGCCGCCGTGGCCATGTTGTAGAGACACTGTGTGTGTTTCGTTGTGAAAGCGAAACTACTTTGTTTGGTCCTCCAAAAGAAGATGATATCCGCTTCGTCATGCCTGGAGCTGATCCGTGCTGGTCGCTGAGGAAATACATCAACTTCGCGCTGTGGATCGCCGGATCGGCTTTCACTGTGGACGAAGCGGAGTCCAGCCCGGGGTCGTCACATCTGGTGGCCGCAAGCCCGCCGGACGCTCCTTCGTCGAATCCGCCGGTCGTGCCGTTCTCAAGGCCGCGGTGTGAGACGCTGTTTGGTTGTGAAAGCGAAATACTTTTTTTGGCCTTCCAAAAGAGGACACGACTAGAAATCAGTGGTTAAGTTGTATTTACAACACTGTTCCAGAACAGTTCAACCCAAATATTCAGATTTGTCCAGTGCATTTTATGGAGGACTGTTTCCTGATCCTGGGAGAGTAGACTACAATGCCGGCTGTTCTGACTCACAGCCTGTAAGTATGTTTTTTATATTTAAAGAATTTGCCACTGACGATTCAAACGCGAGTTTTGAGCAGTGTACAGTAGCACTTGTTGTTTGTCATTTTTCCAATCACAAATGCAGACATGGTTTTATGTTTACGCGGCGCGATGCAACGCAATGTGTAAAAAGACAGTATAAGTCATTATAATCCGTAATTATGTCCCCACTGGATGCAACAAATGCCTCGTTTATAATAGGTTTTAATGTTTTTGTCTCGTCGCTCCGGCCGGACACGGCATCATCACAATATGTTAAGGGGCGTAAACATTTCCGTCACACGCTTGACGTATTCGGCCAATCACAATGCACTGGATAGCTAGCCAATCAGAGCACACCTCGCTTTTCAGACCGATGAGCTTTGTAAAAATCAACGCGTTTCAGAAAGGCGGGGCATAGAGGAGAAACAATAATGTACAGTATGTGGAAAATAATGTGTTTTTTTATAAACACATTTCATTACACCAAATACACAAAATAATGTTATTTTTAGCAGCATCATATGACCCCTTTAAATAAAGTATAATTTCTTAATTGTTTCTTTTGATTTTGGGGTGAAACGTGACTTCTGCAGATTCTGTGTGGGTCAAATTATCAGTTAAAATTACGTATGCACAATTCATCAGGTTTAAACAGTTCCATCATGGCTATTACATCTTTCTGTTTTGAACAATTTCTTAAACATACTGGGTATAACTGTTAAACATTGTCACGTGCAAATTAAGATGTGATTCTAATGATCTTCATTTACAAATCACATATACCTGTGCCTTTTCCCCTTAGAAAAGCATGGGATAACAGATGCAGTATTGAACCAGAATGAGAATGCATGTACATACTGTCTTCATTAACAACAACTTTAGCATTCATTATGAGCGCTAACGGAGAGAGATGAGCATAAAGAAAATAAACCATGCGTCCATTGCAGCTGCTATAAGGCCTTTACTTTAGTGCACTTCCAAGTAAAGGCGAAATCACATTCAGTCAGCACACTCAAACGGACACGACTGCCTCCTCACAGAACACCGCACAGACAGAACCTCACGTACGCACGAAACTCGCCGGTAGCTTCAGGTTATAAATACTGAATGTGAGGGCACTTGCAATTATCATTGTGTAATCACTACAACTACAACTCAGTCACCAATAATCATTAGACTATATTTCATCAAGAACACACACTGAGGCATATCACAGATTTCAGCAAAAAAAAAAAAAAAGGCTTTTTGTCCCTGATGTACACTAATGCTTAGTCAAAGAGAGAAATACAAGCCATGGCTATCCATCGTTGGAAGTAGAGTCCTTCGTATGAGAACGGAGATGGTTCGCTGTGCCCATTCCTTCCACGGGACAGAAGTGAGCTAATGTTTGTTTGACCTTAATAAAGTCTTGCGCTTTTTGTACAAGTTCAGACAAGAGAAACTGCAGCATCCAGTAGTCTTGTGGTGTTGTATACCCATGAAACAAATGCGCCATCTCAGTGTGGCATCAGATTATGTGTCTGGGGAAAAGCAATGAGACTTTGAAGGATCTTTAGGGCCTAAAATATCTTTGAGATGATTTCGAAATGATCCCTGCCAAGTTATAAAATCTGTATTTTTCCATTGATCCTATGGCGAGATATGTTATACAGTGGCCTTAAAAAGTACGTGGACACAGTTCATGTGATGAATGACATCAGTGAGGAAATAACCTCATGCATCCACTAAAAGCGATACCAGTTGACAAAGTAATTGGACGAAATCGCTAGAGAAGATCTAATATCATTATTTCGCAGATTCCATGCATCAAAACTGTTTTAGGGCCATTGTATTTTCATTGATATAATCTTCCATTTTTTATACAATAGTATAACTGAACCAATGTTATACGATTATTGTAATCTTCGACTTCATATATTTTCTAATAATAGTAAGTAGCTATACAGTTGATTTATGCTGTTGATTAAGGCTGTTATTGATGAGGTCGGTTTAGGGATAAAATCTCTCTCGGGAATAACTCTACCTAAACTTCTACCACGTCTGCATTCATATTTCTACATCTAGTTCATGGCTTACAAAAGTGCAAAAAACTCGCTTGCTATGTGAACCTGACAAAAAGTGTTCAGGGACAAAATAATACTTAGAACATTATTTCTATACAAGATAAATATGGCATGTCACATTTATGAATATATAATTCATATTTGCCTTTACATTTGTCCTCTCGTTGACACTTATCTACACATCTTTATATACAGTATTGGAATATACAGAAGGGATAGTGTGGCACTGCGTTTGAAGCACTTTGGAGGGCATATGAGTGCGGAAAGACAACGGAAAACGCAAGGCAGTGCATTGGAACAGAACCAGTAGTTAATCTCAGTAGTAAACATTATGAAACATTTGCAGGAAAGTGTTTGCAGTGACCCATTTTAGCACAAGCAATGTTTCTGTTTTGCAGGTAAAGGGGTGAGGGATTGAGATTTCCAGGGTTCCCACACCTTCTTCACCTTCTGTGAATTTTCATGAACAGATTTCCAGGATAAGGATTTTGAAATAGAATTTTATAGAGATCGCAAACTCTCACAAAAAAAGAGAGAAACACTTCAGAACAGAAACAAATATATAGACTATAGAAAATTACGTGATTTTTAGAGGGATTTAAAAATTTTCGATGACGCTATTAAAATACCCTGATAGTTTCCATGACTGTGGGAACCCTGGATTTCTTACCTTGCTTCCATGTACTGCATTATATTGTATTGGCTCTTTAAGAAAATACACTTTACTGCAGCAGCTGTCACTGTGTTACTGTATTATGTGCGTTTCAGGAAGTTCTGATAATGTTCTGCCACAGATAAACATATCTATCAAAATGTTACAGAAATTGATTGACTCCCTGCTAAGCCCCGCCCCCTCAGTTTCTGTTGCTGACTCAGACAAACTTGACTGAATCCACCGCAGGAATGAATTGGACATTTCAGTTTACCATTCTACATGTTGAGGACACATTATTCAATTCACCTCATGCGATTCCCAACTTCTAAGATTTGGAAAAGGGGGGACAATTTGATCTCTCTTTTGTGAGGCAATATTTACTTTTATATTTATTAATTTTGGCAGACACTTTTATCCAAAGCAACTTGTATTCAGCCCAGCAGGCACAGGACGTCAATATAACATCAGGTTGACGTTCCATTTGGTTGAGAATAAAAATCAGGCTGACGTCAGTATTTGACGCCAATTTGACGTTGACTTAATGTTGGATTTTGGTTACATAACCTAAAACAACAAATATCAATATCAGCTGACGTCAGTATTGGACATCAAATTAACATTGACATTAGACGTCCAATTGACACTGAATTTTGGTCACCTGACATTGCAACCGAAATTTAACCAAATATGTGCCTGCTGGGAAGGTACATATTTACATTTGATCAGTTCTTGCTCTCCCTGGGAATCGAACCCATGACCTTGGCATTGATAGAGCTGTGCACTACAGTCTGAGCCATAGGCAACAAGAGTTTAATGTAATCTTTGATAGTTTTAAATGTAATTTTACAAAATTATTTAAACACACAGTCTGTCCATAGATCTACTTTAGAAATGAGCACTTGTCTGATAATATAATGGGCAGCAACAGTTGCTAAGGCCAGATTGGTCAGTAGCACTTTAAGGCGGGACTTAGCGAAAGGTCAACTGAATTGGATTGCTAAAGCAGTGATTAGTGTAGGTTAGAGAGATTGAGAAAGAAAGAAAGAAAGAAAGAAAGACCTCAGCATTGCAAAATTAAAACTTAAACATGCTATATGCCACCAAGTCATCTATAAAGAGCATAGCATGGACCCTGTAGGGAAAACAAAGACGGCCTACTCTCATACCATGAGGGTGGGTCTCAGTTCAAAGCCTCCAGCAAGACAAAGTGTATGAGGTTCCTTTAAAGTCAGCAGACTGCTCCCTATGTGCATTGTATTATAATTGCAGCTCTGATAAGGCAGAAATAAAAACATCCCAATCAAACGAAACCAATAACACGACAACAAAATGAAACAGACAGAATCGTTCAGAGAGAAACCGGAATCAGAACACAAAACTCCAGGTTCCTCCAGTGGCAATTTGAACGAAATCCATTCTGTTGCTTTTTTTATGGCACCTGTTGTGTGGTTGGCGTCTTGTCGAGTCTCTCATGAAGTATCCGTGACTGAGGGTTTGGCCAAGGTGGGGTTCCAGTTGGGCCTCAGCAGAAGTGGACGGGTTCTGGGCGAAGCTGGCATGCTGCTGGGTGGGCTCAGGGGTCATAGCGTGGTGCTTTGGCCCTCCTCCTCGGACACGGACTCCCCCTCCGGAGAGCTGACCGCAGCAAAGGAGCTCCGACATGGGAGCACCCTGAACTCATCCAACAGGCTGTCCAGATTGACATTGATGGAGGGAATTTCCAAACTGAAGAAATCTGCTATAGGATCATGCAAATGAGAGCGATGGCCACGAAAGTGAAGCGACAAGACAAGTTTACAGTACAGAGAGAAATGATGGAAATGGCGATGATGAGGATGTTGAAAACAACACAAGGAGAGAGAGAGAGCAAAAAAGCAAATTCAGTTCCCAGACCACTGTTAGAGGCGAAGTCAGCGAAGGGTGTTGAATGTGTGTTGCAGCAGGAGAGGGGCACATCAGACTGTTTCCTGGCATTCTGCACATGGATTCTGTTACACTGAGCCATTGGGAAGGAAGGTGAAACATCTGTTTCATTTGAAATTAAACCTGTCCTGCCTCAGTGCAAAATCTCTGCTATGCTCATATAAAATATAAAGTACACATAAAGCTTTTTGCAGTTTTTCAGAAAGTAACAAGAATAGAATCAACAGTTCACCACAATCAGTGCTGGGGAATGTTACTTTAAATAGTAACGCGTTACATGCACTAGTAGCTAATTCGATTACATTGTTACCTTTTATGAAAAGTAACGTGATATTTTTGTGTTATTTTGTACAGGCGTCAATTAGCCAAGGCTCTCTGTCTTCTAGAATGGTGGTTTCCTGCTTGCCTTGTAGACATTTTTAGGTAATTTTGCTGTGAAAAGTATTTGTCCCCGACATGATTTGCCCACAACAACAAATATAGCATGAAACCACATTTATGGTTGTTTAAATGTCACACAAAGACTGCATAAGTGTTTTTACATTGGAATTACAATTTCTGGAAAATGCATTACACATGTGTATGTTTGTAACATGCTTGTTACAGATTTTAAGGTGGCTTTAGTATGCTATTTATCCGCAACAATTTAACCATGTGAAGACACTATACGTAAGTTCATTGTAATTGGACGTTTCCAGTTGTATCAGATAATTAACAGAAAAGTAACATTACTTAGTAATAATGTGTTACTTATGTGCCATTACCATTATGTGTTACTTACGCACTGTTACCATTGTGTTACTTATGCTCTGTTAACATTACGTGACTTATGCACTGTTACCATTGTGTTACTTATGCTCTGTTAACGTTACGTGTTACTTATGCATTGTTACCATTGTGTTACTTATGCTCTGTTAACGTTACGCGTTACTTATGCATTGTTAACATTGTGTTACTTATGCTCTGTTAACGTTACGTGTTACATATGCATTGTTACCATTGTGTTACTTATGCTCTGTTAACGTTACGTGTTACTTATGCGCTATTACCATTGTGATACTTATGCGCTGTTACCATTATGTTACTTATGTGCTGTTTACCATTACGTGTTTACGTAATGTTTGCCAAACAACACTAAACCTGTTACATGTTCCATGTTTGAAAAAGTACTGCAGTATAAAGGTAAAAAGTAACGACAAGAAATATGCGCGCATAACATTGTTACTTGTAACGCGTTACCCCCAACACTGACCACAATGAACAAAATACTCCACACATAGACAACAAGATGGGTGCAAATTGAAAATGTGGTAACATTAAGAAACTTGTCAGTGGACTATGTGGATTGGTGGACTGTATCTGATTGTGATGACCTCCCCTGTGTAAGAATGAGATGGACGCGAGATGGTGTAGTCACGACTGTGGGGGGCGAAGAGTTGTACTGTCGTCCTGCGATGGACTCGACTCAAAGAGAGTTTGGTTGGGGTTTACCTGGGTACCTATGTGGTGGGGATATTGGGTGGGGGAATGGATCACGATGTGAGGTCAGGGCCGGAGGCGTTGAGATGGACTTCATAAGCGACGACGTTGGCAAATGTGTGATGTTGCTCAGAAAAGTAAGGCCATAAGCCATGCATAGACCAGTCTCACACCATGCACAGACTACACTGACAGAATGAAGAAGCCAAGGACAGCCCCGTGACTGGGAGAGAATAACAAAGCTGCAGAAGGAAGTGTTACGGTATGAGACAGAGAGCAAGGCTGCAGTAGGTGGCCCCAGATTCAGCCACAGCACCAGGCCAGACGGTGTGAGATGAGGCTATGGCACGGGCACAGCAGGTTCTGGCTTACCCTAAATGTCCCCCTCACACTCAGCCCACACTCAGTCCCTGGCCTCACACAGCTGCAAGGTGCACAACGATGACAGGGGATAAAAGAGTCATACATCAATCAGTGCTCAGGAGAATGACTGACAGACATGCCTCACATGAGAGAACATACAATCAGTGCCATACAGCGGGCCACTAGAATGATACAAAGACCACAGAACCTTACTTTAGAGAAACAGTCTCACACTAAAGCTGAGAAAATAACTATAGGGCTCATCCTGAAATTCAAAGATGAAGTGTGTAATTCTTTGCATGTTAAAATGCTTCTTTCTAGGTTAGTCTCATGTAGCCAGACTTTTGACATGCGGCATAAAGTCTGGTCAACATAGCAGTCGGTAACGTGACCACCTGAAGTTCAATTTGTTTGTATTTTGTTGTTTAGAGGCAACTTTATGATACTTTTATGAACTTGGTGGTAAATGTGACTGCACCTTCAGTCCTGAGAGTTGAATGTAAAGTTAGCAAATCAATTGGATTTAGTGATTTTTTTGGCAAGCGCTTGCCAAATGTTTCAGTGTGACAAATTTGAAACTCTTACGAAATCTGTGTGGGAAAATCTTTCAACCTCATGTGTAATTTCTAAAATGTGAATACACATGTACTTCTGAAAGTTGAAAGCAAAGCTACCCATAAATGTGAAGTTGACGAATTTCAGCCATGTGACCAATTTAAACTCTTTGCGAAATCTCTAGCCTGGATATTCCTGATCGCATGGATTCCAATTGAAATGACTGGACCCGTGAAAATTCGCTGAACAATGGTAAATGTGACTGCACCTGTACCCCTAAAATTTGAAAGTAAAGCTAATCAACTTGAAGTTGATTTTCAGCAAGTTCCTGACAATTCTTTCCATGCAAACAATTTGTGCAAAAAACACTGCTTGCTTTGTTTGAGTGGTCCGACACAAACAACAACTTCTGGCTCAAGCATTGGCATGAAATTTGTGCAAGACTACCTGTTTGTGGTGGATCAGAAGAGTCTGTGGAAACTCTGTATGGAAAGTCATTATTTTTACAATTCCACTGGTGATGCAAGAATTACACACTTCATTTTGTAGTAAAATATATACATTATGTCCTTGAGCTTTAAGTGAATTCCCTTTGTTTCCATTTTTCTTAAAATCCTTGAGCTAAAATATAATCCTAGGGGTTCAAAATAATTATCATACTATACATCTCAAAGGCAACTGAATCTATGGGCACTCCATATTTAAGACAAATGTCTTCACATTTCATAAGGGGATCTGGCTCCTTAAAGTCCATCGCCTGCGTAGGACGGAGAGACAGACAGTTTGAGAGATTGACGCTGGACTCCCACTTGTGATGTTGCCACTGAGGCATGTTTACCTGTGGACATGCTCTCCCCGGGGGACAATCCGTCAAGTAGACCCTGCTCCAGGGGCTGGGGGGCTGTAGAGGGGACGGTGGGTGGTTGGGGAGGGGGTAGACTGGGTCTCTGCCTGGGCTTTGGGGTGGGTCGGGATTTTGTGAGCGTACCAGTCAGAGAGGGCGGCGAGGACAACGTATAGGGTCCCCCTAATGGGGTCTGGCCAGGGGAAGAGGTGGGCGCGTGTCCAGGGGGACAGCCCAAACCGTATGGGGAGGGAGTACTTGGGGGAGTGGGGGACAGGCTAACCGGAGACGGCTGACCTGTGGATTGGTCTGACATCCCCCCCGACTGGCCGTAGGGAACCTTGGGTGGCACAGGGGCCAGTTTCTTAGAGGCTGTAAGGAGAGAGAGAGATAAGACAAAATAAAATATGCATTCAAGTAACCTTTACTCTACGATCCTGTTTACACCTGGTATTAACATTTGTTTTGGGTGAGCAGATCACAGATTCAAAGTGCTTCAAGGTGAAAATTGGGCACAATGGATCTTAGGAATTTCTTTACATTTAATGATTCCGAAGTAAAAATAAATGTAATAATATTTTCCTTATACCTTGAAAGCATGTCAGTGTACACATCTTAATCATTTTTTAAAATTATTTTTAATGTTTTTAAATACACCCTTCAAAAGTAGGAAGTATTTAAAAAAAAATATTAATTTAATTATTACTTTATGAATATCATTAAGTTTTGGGGGAGTTGCATCAAATGACATTTCACAACCTGAACATTGCAATCAACCAGTCAATCAATCAATCAATCAATAAATCAATTCTTCAATGTGACTTTAGATTTTAAGTATTATTTTCTGAAAACTATTTTAAAAGTATTTGAGCTTATGCATAAAACATGAAATATGTCTGTCATCAGGTTAAGAAAAATAAACTTGTTTTCTCTTTGAATTCAGTTTCAAAACTTGTTTTTCTTAAACCACTGACAGGTATCTATTATTGTTTTAAGCATGAATGCACTTTATGTTGATACATTTTTCAGAAATCAAGACTCAATATCTTAAATAATTTTCCTTAATGTAAACAATAAACAGTTTTTGTTAAAATATTCTTGCTCTAAGAAATACGATCTTTCCAAACTAACAAGGTTTAATTTTCAAGAACTGCATTATTTTAGTCTTTTTTCTCATTATATAAAGAGTTATATCATTCTGATCTTTTAATTTATGTCCCCTAAAACATATCTAATGAATTTTAATTCAGAAATTAAGCTGTATTCAAGTCACTTTACCTATATTTCTTTTCAAATGCAGCTGCATACCAACATAACACTGATCACTGTAGCAAAACAAGCATTTTACAAAAGACTTCACAGTACAATACAGAGCAAATATTGATGTATGTCATCACAAAATCACCTTGACAGAATCAGAAACGTGTTATTACCAGATGCATACAGTGATCTGATCGCCCAAGGCTGACATTATACCAGATTTAAAGAGGATTTTATCTGTAGATTGAATTAAAGAGGAATCCCAGTGGGACGGACCTTTGTGTAAGGTGTGGGGGCTGTGCTCGGCAGAGTGGGGAGACTGGCTGTTGCTCTGCTGACTGCTGACAGGGGGCACTGTTGCTCCTGACGCCTGCACAGCCTTGTGGCCAATCACAGGAGAGAGCTCCTTGCTCTTCAGAGTGCTGGAGAGAGAGACAAACATGACTGCCTGCCATCAATCTGCACCCACTCTATCATTAATGACTAACAGCGTGCAAGGACCCCTCACGCCCCCGTCATCGAAACTAAAAACAGCGACTTAAGTGGTAAATAACATCCTGCTGGTTTGGATCGTGTCTGAATGCACCTTGACATAACATTATTGACATAACTGACGTGGGACTCGAACCCATCGCCATTGTGTTGCTGGCGTCATGCTTTACCAGATGAGCTACAAGAAGGTAAACAAAATGGTGACAAAATAGATGTTACATTTTCGTTGTTGCTTGAACATCCACAACTAGAATCTGCTTTTATGTGGGTGTGATGTGATTTTTTTCCAAAGACATGTGAAGGTGGTTTTACACCGAGTGTTTCTCATGCATGTCAGGAGGAGGGGGATTGAGTGTCCTTGCCCAGCAAACACGCACACACACACACGCACACACACACACAGTATGTATCTTGAATATAACTGAGCATGTGGAGCCTGTTTTTCACTCTGACAGCTCTATTCAGGCGCCTCTCTGCTAAACTCTGGGGAAGATAAATCTATGTGCACACATGGACACATGAGTCCTCTACATTTATATCCGTGCAGACATGCAGAGAATGATGCTGCAATATCTGCATCTATGTGACTACATTTGGTACGACTCTGCCACATCTATGACTCAATCTCTGCAGTGCCCTGCAATGTTTGAATGAAGGCTCATGAGGGTAGATGGGGAGGGGAACCTGTGCCATTGCAATACACAGTCATTAGTAAAATGGCTAATATTGGCTCTACTGATGCTAAGCTCTCTAATAAAGATCTTGGATAGATCTTTATTGCATTGATGGTGTCAAGCGATGAGAATTCATGTAATTCCACTGACATTCCTGCAACCTTTCAAACAACCCGGGAGGTTGATGGTCTAAAAAAAGAGCATTCGTATACACAATTCCCACCTCAATTAAATTTATGGCCTACATTGATGTTTGCAATTTGATTTTGGAAATTGTTTCAGCCTTATGACAATTTACCAGTGCATTTGGCTTTAGAGTTCTCAAATTCAGATGGCTATTAAGTAGGGAACACTTTAATCTTAGTGAAATTATTATATTTTATGTCGCCCTGCTGTGTTTCAAAATCTAGTGAGCTGCCTTGTTGTCCTTCTTGTCAGCAGCTACCGAATTGTAACTGAAATGAATATCGTAAATGAGCACCAGCTCTGTAAACCAATGAAATTTGAGTTTGTGCTTTTTAGTCAAAAACTTTGCTGAACTATGTTAAATGTGACCATACCTTTAGCTTTGTATGTGTTGGTGTACTCCTTAAAGGTTAGCAAAACAAACTTTGAGTAGATATACATTTAAAATGTAGATTTGTCTTCAGGGAAAACAAAGTCAGAGACTAAATATAGTGACCTGCACTATCCAAATGTTTGTCCAATTAACTGCCCTCTAGAACAAGAATGTATTTCCTTTTAAAACCATCTATTTCTGATTAGCAAGAGGGAGTAGCTTCTCATGGTTCACAGCTAAAGCCCAAAGTATAATATAATGCAAATCCTTAGCGAATGCGCAATGGCAAATGCGTAGCCTTTCAAAGTATACTCCATTTGTTACTGTGCGCAAACACATGCACATTAGAAGGTTTTGCACAGAAACTGAAGTATACATTGGGCTTTAGATGAAGATAGAAAAGCTAAAGCATTTTGGCTACTAACAACAAGTCCCGATGTCACGTTACAACTTCCTGGTTTAAACACTTGCAAACTATTTCATGGGGTTTTAAACAATCCCTTACGTAAATTAACCATAGGTTTATGGTGGTAAAATTTTAGTAACCATGTTTTTTTTTTGGGGTGTATTATTGATTACCATTTGTATAACCACAGTTTTACTACAAATACCATGGTTAAACTGTGATAGTGTATAGCAAAACCATGGCTAATTTGTGGTTACCACGATTTAACTATAGAAATCTTGTTTTTTTGTAGTAAAACCACTGTTAAATTTCATAAGGGATCACTGACATACATTGCCATACAAACACCCCTCAAGCAAAGTGCACAAGAGACTCAACATTCACAGTTCCTCTAATAGAGTGCTGCACGGATAACACATTTTGCAGGTCATAACACAGTTCCTATATAGGTTAGTGTATGTTTAAGCTTTTTTACTTCGGATGATAGTATTTAGGCTTTAAAACTCCTTAGTGAAGATTATTCTGTAAGAATCATAAGAATATTTTGTTGATCACAGAGCTAATTTTCTGCAATAAACCAAAAGCCAATGAAAAAACCCTTTTGGGGTTTTGTCGAGGGAACCAGGGTGATGCTAACTTACAAGTTGGCCTACAAAATCACTGCAGTGCTCTATATTGTCAGACATTGTCAGAATGGATGCATTTTAATTAGATGGAATTTCTAAGAAATTAGTAAATGTAAAGTGGCAATCAGATTATATCATTGCAATTGATTTTGGGAAGTCCTTAATTTTATTTTTCCAAAGCTATCTCATAAGGCCAGAATAAATCTGTTTCCTATTGTTTGGAGGAGTCTTTGTGTTGGAAGAGCGCCTATGATGACTAAAATAGATGCCTAGGTGGGCAGCTCATTAGTTTTGGAACAGAGCTGGTGTTAATATTCACGCACATCAAACACAACTCTTGACTCAGTTTCACAATCAATATATTCATGTCACCATATGCATCTCCATCAATGTATTTATTTCTACCAGGGTTAAAACTAAAACTGAAACTAAAACCATTTTTTTTTAAATCATTAATTGAAACTAAATAAATGTTAACTGAAATTAAATATTAAAAAAACTAACATTTTTTTTTTAATTTCAGCTAGCTGCCAAAGCAACATTTTAATTCAGTTTAACTTGATGTACTAAAAGAGCTATAACTGAAATAAAAATACATACACATTAACTAAAAGCACAAGAAAATAACAAAACTGAATTTGAACTGAAATTAAAATAAAAGCAGAAAATAAGAACTGATTCAAAATATTAATAAAAGCTATCAATGACAGCACTGATTTCTAGGTGAAGGATCCACTTTCACTAAACGCCAGTAACATCCTCAGTTGCTAGGCAACCTCAGGCTTCCCTGGACAATGAGAATGTTACGGAATCTGCGTGATGGGACTGAAAAAGCAATAACATTACAAAGCAAGTTCCAAAAACAAGATGGAAAAGTGGGAGCCAGTATGGAGTAATCTGAGGTGAGCGCTCAGACAGTGTGGGGAGCCCTGATGGCCGTCACAGTGTGTTATGCGAAGGCGGGGTGGCCGCAGGCAGGTGGTATTTACCTAGTCAGCCTGGGGGGTCCTCTCTCGCGGGCACATGGACAGGCAGCCCACGGCGGGAGGGCGGAGGAGGGGAAGCTAGGGGGGTTTCCGAGGGACACGTCGTGGCGGGTCAGCACGAGAGGGGTTTTAATGTAGAGGGGCGAGGCATTGGCATCAGGCGGAGCGGCATGCGGCGCGTCACACACGGGGCCGTGTTTGGGAAAGTGCAGGCAGCTAGGCTTGGGGTTGGAGTTGATATCGAGTGAGGAGGAGGAGGAGGAGGAGGAAGAGGATGGGTGTGGTTGGGGCTGAGGAAGGGGTGGGCCGAAGCCGACCCAGCGCAGGGGCGGAGGTGGGGAGCTGGGAGGCTGGGACTCGGGACCGGGGGCGACGGGCCGAGCGCAGGGAGGGGGCTTGGGGTAGAAGTGGTGAGGCCCAGGATGGGAGGACAAGGACGAGGAAGGGTACGGAGGGGGTGGCCGCTCCTCCGCGTGGGACGAATAGACATGTGAGGAATCCGGCCGATTGGGCAACACGTCGTCTGAGCTGCAGATATTGAAAACAATAAAGAGCAAACACAGGAGAGAGAGCTCTGGTCAACTGCACACGCATGACAGCGCAACAGGAAAGTGGATGTTTAGCTCCAGCTGTGGCTCGCTAGCGTTATACAATATTGATAATACTCTCAGGATCCTTTGGTCTGCATGTGTGTCTCAAGCTGGTATGAGCATTTAGCCAGTTTAGCGCGTGGCAATGAGCAACAGGTTTAGCAAACAGCAAGCTTAGCAATGAAAAAACAGGCGCCATCTGACTCCACTGGGAGGAAAAGCACAGCGATGCATTGAAATTAAAAAGAAGAAAACAGAAAATTACACTGAAAATGACCTTGTGTCTGCGCACTGCACCAAGGCAAGAAAAAAAAATCTCTTCGAACAACCAAACGTCAGAGAAAATTTGGTGAATAGCGCTGAAACCAAGGTCTCTAAGGTCTCTAAATATGGTGAAAACCCAGAGCAGTTAAACACAGACACAAAAACCCTTTCATGGCCTGAAAGAGTGTCAGAGGGGGGGGGGGAGGTAAGCCAGTCAAATCATCAGCCATTGCAAACCCTAAACACAGTGACTGAACCATGGCGTGACCTTCACTTCATTAATGTATGTTTTGCATATGGGCTTATGGGTTTATTATTAGTGAAATTGAATGAATAGGAAGCCACAGCAAGAATGCCTTACATTTCATGGGACCAATCCTACCAAACTGTGACGGTTTAACCACACTAAATGATCATATAGGCCTGTACACACTGCAAAAATGACAACTGCATTCAAATCCAGAAGTGAATCCTCTAAATTATCGTTTTGGGTGTGAAATGACAAATTAGAAACATGCCAAAGAAACATACTGTACGCGTACTCTGTGATTTTTTTATGGCGCTTAAAAGGATAGTTAGAAGTCATCATTTACTCACCCTCATACAGTATGTGACCCTGGACCACAAAATCAGTCATAAGGGTACATTTTTTTAAATAAGCTGAATACATAAGATTCCCATTGATGTATGGTTTGTTAGGACAGGACAATATTTGACCGAGATACAACTATTTGAAAATCTGGAATCTGAGGGTGCAAAAAAATCTAAATATTGAGAAAATAGCCTTTAAAGTTGTCCAAATGAAGTTCTTAGCAATGCATATTACTCATCACAAATTAAGTTTTGGTATATTTACGGTAGGAAATATCATGGAACATGATCTTTACTTAATATTCTAATGATTTTTGGCATAAAAGAAAAATAAATAATTTTGACCCATACAATGTATTTTTGGCTATTGCTACAAATATACCCCAGCGACTTAAGACTGGTTTTGTGCTCTAGGGTCACAAATGTTTGAAAATGATTAACAGTTAAAAACAGTAGTAAGAAATTCAGAAAGGTAATCAAATGTAATCAGTTTCACTGCTTTAATAAAGTAATTGAAATAGTTACACTACTTATTACATTAAAAGAAAAATAAATAATTTTGACCCATACAATGTATTTTTGGCTATTGCTACAAATATACCCCAGCGACTTAAGACTGGTTTTGTGCTCTAGGGTCACAAATGTTTGAAAATGATTAACAGTTAAAAACAGTAGTAAGAAATTCAGAAAGGTAATCAAATGTAATCAGTTTCACTGCTTTAATAAAGTAATTGAAATAGTTACACTACTTATTACATTTTAAATAGGGTAATCTGTAATTAGGTTAATCCAAAGTAACCTTCGCAACACTGCTAATATGCTGCTCATTTCTTATAACCATCAATGATGAAACAGCAGTGACGCTTAATATTTTTGTGGAAACTATGATATATTTTTTTTCAAGATTCTTTGATCAAAGTTCAAAAGAACAGAAATGAAAAAGTTTTACTAACCCCAAGCATTCAAATGGTAGTGTACCTCTTTCCCTGAGATCTTCTTGCCTCGCATCAGAAGAAGAGAGACTCGCATGGGCTTTTAACTACATTACAAGAACTAGTTACTGAGTTTGGTTTGGTTTAATGTATATGCGGTTAATTTGGTTGCAGAATGCGGATGTCACACAACTGAAGTCTGTGTGTACAATACAGGATGAAGAACTCAAAAGAGGACTGACAATCGTATTTAGCTGCAGTGTGTACACGGCCATACTGACTGCACTACTGTATTTGTATAAATAATTATATTTATACATAAAGACAAAAAATAAAACATTAGGTAGAACAAGGAAAGCATGAAAGAGCAGAGGAAATTATGTCATTAATACACAAATGCAGGGAACGCAAGAGTTAATTGCTGAATGGAAAACAATGAGGTCTCAAGTTAGTTGGTGCAACAAGTTCTACTGTGAAATGTGTATACAGTACATTGAAATGACAATGGAAAACATGTAGAGGATGATGGGAATCGTGTGTGTTTTTTTTTTTACCTGCCCCTGTCTCCAGGAGGGGGGGTGGGGATTGGAGATGTGTCCAGCTCACCGGGCTGCTCAGTGATCAGGGTGTCCGCAGGAGAGCCGGGCGGTTGTGCGCTGGGAGGTGTGGATGAGGCTTTGCGGCCCAGTGTAGAGGAACTTTTGCCCTTCACCCACGATGTGTCCATGACTCTGACACCCACACTGCCCACATAAAGACCCACAAACCATCAATCACAACCACTGCAGAAAACACAACTAGATGTACTTTACAGAAACGTTAACCCTCTGATGCATGATGCCAACTAGCCACCTTGAGTGATTATCTTTAACCATTACCCATAATTCTATATAACTGTGCTCTACATCGTAAGTGTTTTTTTTTTTCAATTTCAAAAAGACTAACAAAGTGGTGAAGGTCATTATTTTGTTAGAGGCCAGGTGTGTAACTCTATAAATTATGATTATATTATTATAAAAATATATATTTTTTCTTTATAAAAAGAAAATGTTTTTGTCATTTAATAATTCATGTGTCAGAGGGTTAAAAAAACACTTTATAGTAACTTGCATCATTACAATCAACATAAATTATTGTAATTGTTACACGATATAATTAGACAATAGAATATGATTTTGAATAATACATATCACTGTTCAAAAGTTTAGGGTTGGTAAGTGTTTTTTTTTAATGTTTATGAAAAAGAAGTGTCTTATGTTCACCAAGACTGCATTATTTGATCAAAAATAAAGTACAAACAGTAATTTTGTGAAACATTTCTAGAATTTAAAGTAACTGTTTTCTATTTTAAAGTTTTCAAATATAATTTATTCCTGTGATGGTAAAGCTGAATTTTCAGCATCATTACTCCAGTCTTCAGTGTCACATGATCCTTCAGATATCATTCTAATATACTGATTTGCTTTTCAAGAAACATTTCTGATTATTACCAATGTTGAAAAGAGTCAAGCTGCTTAAGATTTCTGTAATATTATTTTTGTAATATTAAAATATATAAATGTTTGTAATATTACAGTATTTATTCGAAATGGAAATCTTTTGTACAATTATAAATGTTTTTTAATGTCACTTTTGATCTATTTAATGTATTCTTGCTTAATAAATCGAATCAATAAACAAACAAATAACCTGACCACAACAAACCCCGAAAAAAAACGTTTGAACAGTAGTGTTTTTATATTTGAACATACATGCTTGACTGTCTTGTTAATACAGAAATTAAATGATTGCTAATTAAGTTATTAAAGTGTTACCAAAAACAAAGCCACAGTATAACAGAAAAGGTGAACGGTACCTTTGAATTTTCCTAATGCTGCATTAAGTGTGGATAAAATAATGAGTTTAGGGACAACACAGTGAGTTTACATTTAACAGTAATGTCTGTAGAGTAAGCAAAAGTAAATGACAGGGGGGACAGCTAAATGAGAACTGTGTGGCGAGAGCATGCAGTGTTTGGAAGATCAGGGCCATCCAGAGGTGAGAACGTGTCAGCCTAAATGAGCAGCTGGCTCTCTTGCCTGCTGCGACACCATTAAGCCTCATTTACTCTAATTGCTTTTACCCCGAGAGCTGTGGACATAAACAATCAGACACTTAGCCTCCCCTATAACAAAACACATCAGTCCTAAAACACAGTGGATCAGAGTCTCTAATTGTTATGTAATCTATAAAACTTGTCAGTGCGTTTGAAATGACAGCAGATATCAGGAGCATTTTAACATGAGGAAATGTGAGGGAAATACAGCAATGGCTGATTGTCATGGAAATATTCATTTCAGATTAAATATGAATGCTTAAAAGCTAAAGCTTCAAGAAAAAAGATAGTAACTTTTTTAAATGCATCATTTTGTAAAAGATGCATGTTTTCGTCACGGGATAAAAAAAAAATTAAAAAGGTAAAAAACGTAGAATTGCAAGAAAGGAACTAAGAATTTTGACTTTTTTTATTGCAATTGCGAGTTTACGCAGAGACGATCCTCCCTATACGATTTAATTTTATGATTTAATTTTAGTTTTGTTTTTGAATTTGGCCAGCGGTTATGAAAACATGAATTATGATTTATTTTAATGCGGTGCGCTGTCGCCCTTTCTACGTAAAAATCAGTCAAATCATGTAATGTGAATGTCGCACAGTCTTACTCGAGACTAAAAAAACGAGTTGTAAGCGTACCGAGCCATGGAAGAGACACTGTTTCTCAAGCGCTTTCCGCGAGCGCGGCCACCGCCGACACAGTTTTGCGTAGGTCCCCCAGAAGTCTAGGATCGGCACTGAGCGTACGTCTCAACTCTAAGTTTATATCTCACACTTCTCATGTTTTTTCTCTGAATTCTGACTTTACATCTCGCAACTGTGGTTTCTGTTTACTCCACAGTATAAAAAATAAAAAAAGTCAATTGCGACTTTTAAATCTCAACAATTCAGGCTTTTTTTTTTTTTAATAATTGTGAGTTTATATCTCACAATTCTGACTTTTATTTTTTGCTAAATTCTGATTTTAAATCTCATGGTTCTGACTTTTTTCCTCAGAATTTTGAGTTATCATCTTGCAATTATTTATTTTTTTTTGCCATGGAATTAAACATAAAAAAAACGTACATTCAGTTTACATCTCGCAGTTTATATCTTACAATTCTGACTATAGATCTCATAATTTTGACTTTATATTTCACACTTCTAATTTCACATCTCAAAATTCTCTGACACAATTCTGAGAACAAAAGACAGAATTGTGAGACATAAACTCAGAATCGCAGGGGGAAACAAAAATTTAAAATGTGATAAAAAAAACCACATTTACATTTTTTTAACCCCGTGGTGGAAACATGCTTCTATAATTTTCAGACTTTGACTTTTCTCTACAATGTAGCCAAGCAAAATAAACCTCCCAAATAGTGTACACTGAAAAAAATGTTTAATACTTCAGTGTTTTTTTATCAAAAAATATTACTTAATATCACTAATATTACTTAATATCTCTAAATCAACCTAAATACATGAATACTTAATATTTTAGCACTTAGATTAGGTAGACATATAGGTATAAATTGCAGGTCACCATTTTTTTTTTTACAGAGTAGGGGAGTGAAATTAACAACATCTAAAAGTAGTGTGGACATGTTCCCTCCAGTTATAATGGCTGCTATTTTCCTTTCATTAATCATTCCATTAAAGCACTTGCAAATATGATTCCACACAGCCTTGTATTTAATATGTGGTAATTTATCAGCATTGTTTGCCAAATATTTGCCAGAACGCAATATTTGTCGTAAGCTAGTCTGGAGTGGGACTCTATCGAACAGAAGTCTGGATCTCCTCCTCCGTATGCGCTATTTTTCCACCTGCTGGAGCACTGCAGGTGGCATGAGTCAGAGCCTGGCACATCTGCCACGTGTCTCTGTCGATAGCGGCAGAAATCCAGCCCCCTCAGTGAAAGATAAGCAACCCGCAGCCCTCCTTCAATACTCAATCCACGTTACCATAGAAACCGTGGCAGCCCATCAGCCCGAGACCAGCTCTATTCAAATGAGGGCAGATTGTGGGAGTGGCTGAGATGTTCCCGGAGCTCAACTCCAGTTGAGAACAAATGACACTGAAAGATTACTGGATAACGACGTGACTGACGTCCCGGTCTAAGTGAATTAGTCACTGAACACATTAGCTATCCGCCGCTGCTAATTGGTTTAAGCGGCACTATCGAACCCTGTCAGTAATAGGCTGTTACTGCAATGATGTTTAATTTAAAAGGGTAGTTCTCAGGAACGTCTGTTGTCATTTTCTCATGTTGATCCAAACTCATGTGACTTTCTTTCTTCTATGGAACATTAAAGATTAATATACTGCCCTAGAGAAAAATAAATATTTGAAATATATTTATTTCAAGCTAAGTATACTACAAATACATCTATAGTAAATGGTCCACTCATGAGCGAGTCTTCTGAAGTAATAAGACACTTGTGGTCACCCACTCATTATTTTGAAAAATAAAAATAAAAATCACTGGACGATCTTGGGGGGAAAATGTAATTGTGTTTTTCTAAATAAATGTGAAATTTTTTTAAAGCTTCAGATTTGTTGTGCTTGTTTAAAGGGGTTGCACAATTTGGCCAAAACTGTTGTGATTACATATCAGTATGACAAAAAAAGAAGAAAGAAAAAAAAAAAGATAAAAAATAATCATTACACACACAAACAAGTTACATATACAGTACATATGAAAATACTACTACTAATAAAAAATATTATTATATTGGTATTTTTATTAAATAAAAGTATTACAAATATAAACATTACTATTGTAATATTTTACTGTAAAATATATATTTTTTGTAAATTAAGTATTTAAGTAAAATAATATAAAAGTAATTCACATTTACAGTACTCCTGTTTAATTGTAAAACTAACATTTATGGCTGTCTTAATTTTTCAAACGTTAAACCATCAACATTTTATTTCAGCAAAAAAGCCTCGTCAAAAAGCATCTCTTTCATTGACAAAAATATGAAGCATGTCGTGTTCCCAAATGCACATTTTAAGCGACTCAAACTAAGAGCAGATGCATTTACAGTGAACCAAGCTGCTTTGAGAAGCTGAAAACACTGGATCGTGAGCTGCTCATGTGTAAATAAACACAGTGCTGTGCTTCACTCTGAAACCATATGTATTTAACTCATTTGCAGCCTTTTTGATTTGATATTCACACTAAGCCATATTGCGAGGATTGCCAGGATATTCTTCAAAAATGTACCTTTTGTTTCATGGAAAAAAGAAAGTCGTACAGGTTTGGAACGAATGAATAAATTATGACATTTTTGGGTGAACTGTCCCTTTAAGATTAGCGATGGTATGAGAAGCTAAAGGAAGAGTGTGGGACGGAAAAGGAAAAAAGGAGAGATGGAGGAGGCATACAGAGCCAAGAGTGCAGAACAACCTACCCATCCTTCTTGTAGAATTCCAGCATCATGTTGTCAGTAGCAACACTGAGTGGGCGTCGGCTCTGGTCATGCTGCAGCTTGCGCTCTGATTGGTCCATATCGGGCGAGGGCATGGAGCTGTAGTTGTAGTTGTGGTTGGTGTGGACCGGGCTGCCGTAGCTGCCTGTCAGGTTGAACTCAATATCTAAGAATAGCAAAGACAAGCCATATTGCGAGGATTGCCAGGATATTCTTCAAAAATGTACCTTTTGTTTCATGGAAAAAAGAAAGTCGTACAGGTTTGGAACGAATGAATAAATTATGACATTTTTGGGTGAACTGTCCCTTTAAGATTAGCGATGGTATGAGAAGCTAAAGGAAGAGTGTGGGACGGAAAAGGAAAAAAGGAGAGATGGAGGAGGCATACAGAGCCAAGAGTGCAGAACAACCTACCCATCCTTCTTGTAGAATTCCAGCATCATGTTGTCAGTAGCAACACTGAGTGGGCGTCGGCTCTGGTCATGCTGCAGCTTGCGCTCTGATTGGTCCATATCGGGCGAGGGCATGGAGCTGTAGTTGTAGTTGTGGTTGGTGTGGACCGGGCTGCCGTAGCTGCCTGTCAGGTTGAACTCAATATCTAAGAATAGCAAAGACAAATCAGTCCAAATCTCGCAGGAGAACACGCTCGTGTGTATGTGCGAATATGTTTTCACGACTCTTTTTATCGAACCTCCAGGGAAGAACCAGTCAGCGTGCTGAATGATCGGCTCAATGATGCCGACGATTTGCAGAGACATGGTGGTCATCATTTCCGTCATGTTCCTGTGAAGATCAATGACCCATTTGACATACACATTACAAATGTCAAAATATACAACTACTAGATACATTCAAGGAGTAGTATACCTAAAATTGTAATTCACTTATGTCCATCCAAAACTGAATGACTCTTTCTTTTGTGGAACACAAAAGGTACAATTTTTAACAATCCTCATGTAGTTCTTCTCCATAAAACAACATTTCACAGCGACTACAGTGACAATATTTGGCAGAGATACAACTATTTGAAAATCTGGAATCTGAGGGTGCAAAAAAATCTAAATACAGAGAAAATCGCCTTTAAAGTTGTCCAAATTAAGTCCTTAACAATGCATATTACTAATCAAAATTTATGTTTTGATATATTTACAGTAGGACATTTACAAAATATCTTCATGCAACATAATATTTACTTAATATCCTCATGAATTTTGGCATAAAAGAAAAATCAATAATTCTGACCCATACAATGTATTTTTGGCAGGTTTTATGATCCAGGGTCACAAATATCAGTCAGTTTTACACAGAAAACCTTCGCATGACTTCAAATGACTTGAATATAGTGCAAAATCTGTATGAACTTTTTATAGTGTGTTTTTATCATTCTTAAAGCTTGACAGACAAGGTCAGTATGAACTGTTGTAGTATGGATTCTTCAAACTATTTTATTTTTGTATTATTTATATATTATTATAGCAGTCATTATTATTTTGAATTAGCTTTTATTTGTACATTTTTAGATTTAATTTAGCTTAAATAATTGTATGTGCTTCGCAAATTTTTATTTTTCTTGGTCAATATTTGTATATTACGATTTACTTTATTTTTTGTTTCTGTTTGAGCAATTTTAGCACTTCTTGAACTTCTATTTTTATCATATTCTAAATTTTGTATCTAATATTTATATCTTATTGTACTTTTATTTCAAGAAAATTATTTTTTATTAGTTTTAGTTTACAGTAACAACACTGTGCTCCACAGAAGAAAAATAAGTCATATGTACAGTACGTAATAACAGAATTTTAATTTTTTCAGTGAACTGTCCCTTTAAATTGCTTTGTGAATTTGCTGCTCTCCACATAAATGTAAGAAATAATCCAAACGGAAGACATGCACTCACCCTTCTGAATGTGTCCACAGCAGGTTGGGTCCAAGAACTATTGCAATATTACCTGGCGTCATTTTATTAGCGTCTTGATGCTCCGTGAGTTTGGCTAAGAACTTAACTAAATATCTGTTTTGAAAAAAAAAATAATAATTCAGTTTCAATCTCAGTTTGACCAAAGGGTTTAGCCCTGCCCTGGCATTCCATTTGCTATTCCTGTCGCTGTATATTATCAATATTTCAGTAGGTTTGACAGAAGGCAGGTGCAGTCAAACATCCAAGACCCACAGCATATATCTGGAAAACCTTGGCTAGAAGTAAAGACGTGCCAAAAGCATAATCCATATGAACAGGCATCCTTATTTTCTTAAACGGAAGCTTTGTTTGAACTTAATCCTGGATTAATTATGTAATATTTATTGTGTGGCTCTTAGTCTTTGGTCAAATCAGTCAAGGCGAAACAAAAGGCTGAATTTGTCTTTGCCAGAGACAGCGTCTGTATATTTGGCACACTAAACAGGTTGGACTGAAGGACATTTCCGTACTCAAAAATATTCTCTGTAAGACTAATGAACTCTGATTATTTCAGAAACATGCCCACTTCCTGTCAGTGAAGGAACTGCTGTTTCGCTCATGATATGACAGAGATTTGACACTCCTCTCTTTTAATGAGCTCTTGCATTCATGACTCATTCAAAGACAAAAGCCTCGAGAGAAATAACAAACAATAAGTAAATAACAAGCGCCACACACCTGAAGTTGTTCAGATTGTCTGCTGGTAGTTTCTGACATGTACACAAAAGGTCTTGGAGTCTTTTATCCATATCTTGAATACTACAGAAAAGACACAGGGAGAGATGCATGAGGTACAGTATACAGAATATGAATAAACTTAATCTTTTTTTTCTCCACAGTGCTATCAACAAACACAGAAAAAGATAAGCATTTGCCTGATTTTACTGACAAATCTTCCACTGTAAATTTAGTGTTAAGTTCACTTACATACAATTCAGTATAACAATCTATTATACTAGTAGTTCACTGAGAGGAAGTGAGTTACTTCTAATACATTGACATTAGTATATTTACTTCATAAAGCATACTTGGAAAATATACTTGAAATCTTTTTTTGTAAGAGTTTTAGAATTGACAACTCATATTTGCCTTTATGAAAATTAACCATGGTTTTACTATTAAAAAAAAACCATGGTTACTAAAAAACATTGTTAAACCATGGTAACCACAAATTAACCATGGTTTTGCTACATAGTTTAACCATGGTAGTTGTAGTAAAACTGTGGTTGAACAAAAGGTAACTAATATGCCAAAAAGCCATGGTTACTAAACCTTTACTATAATAAAACCATGGTTAATTTTCGGTGATAAAGGTGATTCCAACTGAGTTCAGCATTAGCGCATGTTGCTAAGCTAACATATTACTCTAATAAGCATACAAACAAACACAAATATTAGGATAAAATATTGTAATTCAATTATCTGTAAAGCATATGTTATATTGTAAGAAGGTATCTCAGAAAGCAGCATACTGTTAATTTTCAGTGTCTTAAATGCTATCCACCTTATTTTTCCCGGGCGTGGCCATTTGTAAATTTACAATGTGTCGGTGTCATTCACTTCCAGCTATTTTTAGCTGTACAAAACAGTTAGTTTTGCTGTTCGATATTGCAAACTGTTGTTTCTTACTATTTTATTTTAATGTATTATCTTAATTATGAACACACTGGTTTGTAGTGAAAACAGTTTTACTGTTTACTGCACTTTTGTTATTCTTCTCGTTATTTCCCTACAGAGACTAATGAACCAAAAGTCTCACACATTCACAGAAAACGGCTTACTTCCACATTGAAAAATAAGGTGGATAGGTAGATGGCTCACTATCCAGAGAGCACATGTAAATCTCCAAGATTTCAGTTACAGAGGGCTTCATTTGCAAAACATCTGTTGTGTACAAACAGCTGATATGCATCTTTAAAAAAGCAGTTTTACATATATTCTAAGTCATAAACATCTTTTCTAGATGTCTACAGCTGGTCATAGCTGGTTTAGCAGGCTACACTGTTAAAAAAAAAAAGGTGACATTTACGGTACCGGCAGCTGTGGTTGCCAGAACTTCACCGTAAAAAATATGGTAGCAACATTTTAGGTTTTACAGACTTAACTTAAATTCACAATAAAATACCGTATTTCATTAACTGATGTAATGTTAATAAACCAACATATTGAAGGGTTAATATCTGTTTTGAGCCATGAACTGGTGGTGATGAAAAAGTCACATGATGAACCAAAGCTCATCTCAAACAGCTTTTCTACGAGCTGAGGAGGACAATACTTATACAGTATATAGAAGGTGCACAGTGTCATTCACACAAACACTAAACCCCATCATGGTGACACACATGACACTGAAATAATGCAATAAACATTAATTTAGTAACATTAGATGTAAGATTAAACCCTAATGTACACAACTGATAAGAAAAAACTAAGAAGAAACATCAAATATTAAGTGTCATGCAGGGAATTCTGGGAGTGTCAATTTGGTTTTTCATTGTAAATTATACAATTACTTTTTCTTTTTCACTTCCAAAAACCGTATTTTTAACAGTATTTTACTGTAAAATTATATTAAATGTAATTACATTTATTCACCGTATATAGTATGGAAACTTACTGTTAACCAGTTAACAGTTTTTTACTGTAGCATTTTTTACAGTCTTTTACTGTTAAAATCACAATCATTTTTTACAGTGTAGTTTTAGAAAGGTTTTGACCACTTTCTGGTCTAACCAGCTAAAACCAGTTGAACATGAAGCTTGGCCGTCCAGGGAGATGTATTTTAGCTGTTTTTTAGCACAGGAAATGTCTTAGAAACATACTGCACATGCGCAAACACTTTAAAAATACATCTTCCAGATGAAAACGCACATCAAATAGATGTTTCTGTGATGCACATTTACTATCAGGGTGTGTTTTGGAATTGAGCAAAGGTGAAATCTGAAAATGGCAAATGGTAATGGAGTGTGTGTTGGGGTAGACTATCGATACTTACTTTGAAGCTTGAATCCATTCATCATAGAGTTCAAAGGTCATTAGAGGTTCAGGAAGTTCACGAAGATAAGACTTCAAGGCTCCTGAGGGAAGCAGATGAGGAAGGAAAGAGGTCAGAGGGAAGGAGAGAGGCAGGGGCACGGTGAAAGAGTGATAGGACGTGACTGGAGGTGTGATATTCTCTGCTTGAAATACTAAAGGGAAGCCTGACAAATGAGCTGTCAAAAGCCACAATCAGTGTGTAGTGCTTGTCGGCTGTGGCCCCCTACCTGACGGCTACTAGGTCACGCTTCAGGCCCAGAGTAATGAGATCAAATTAACCTGGGACAGAATTTAATGCCAACTGCCGTGGGGTCTGAGATTTTGTAGCTGCGATCCACTAAAAGGACACTGTGGGTAGATCAGTGGACATTTTAAAAGCTAAGAGGAGAGAGGCAGATGCTCACCTGCGATGGCATGTGGGTCAGCCGAGTACTCCTGCACATCCATGACCCCGCAGTCCAGTGATGCCTTCAGTTTCTTCAGCTTGGAGGCTGAGGGAGCCACCCGAAATAAACCCTAAAATGACAGGAAGAGTGAAGTTAGACCTTATTGGCCATAAAATCCCAAACCCTGTTCCAAATGGCAACCTTGGCCCTCGTGGTTTACTTTTTAGTTTTTTTGCAATAGACCTGTGGTTTTTGACCTGGAGGCCGGGGCCCACTAGGGGGTCTCAGGAAATTTCCAAGGGGGCCTCAAGATAGCTAAAAAATATTTAAAATAATAAATACTTGGTAATTAATTTTTTAAGTGGAGTTCAAGTATATTTTCCAAGTATGTTTTATGTAGTAAGTACACTAATATCAATGCACTATACTTATACTGTATGTATATATATATATATATATATATATATATATATATATATATATATATATATATATATAT